ATGTAATAGCCCAGCACCATTACCGTCCCATAACGCCCATTACCAATTAATAGGTCCGCTAAGAGAGGGTTGGCGAGTGATGCGCTCAAATTGACTTTGCGAATATCATTCTCCTTTCATTATCATACGAGGCAGATGAAAAATGCCGGTCGACGAGAAAACGAACATCTCACTCAAGGAAGGTTAAGTTCAGCGCCCAGATTTATTTATTTATTCTTATTTCATTACCTCTTTTCCAGCCACAGGCAAATTATCACTCAATCGCATTGTGTCATCTCCTTGGAAAAGCATTACTTAAAGCGTTGGTCCTCTGGGGTAATTCAAGAGCAGCTCTATCATCCCCCCCTTTCTCTTTTACAGTAACATTTCCATAGTTCTGATACCGGTCTCATATTTTTTCAAACGCCTAGTACCACAGACTGATCCTCAATTTTAGTCAATAATCAAATAAATATATTTGCCCATACTATGAACATTTTAAATAAAGTTATAATCAAATATATTTTAATTTCTAATTCATTTCCTACTCAGGTTGGATAAATTGACCGAATAAATCACAATTTGGAACAAATCTAAAACATATCTTATTCAGAACCTCACACTGTTCCTAATGCGATCAAACAGTTTTTTGTTGCATATCATACGTAAGCATATATATATATATATATATATATATATGTGTATATATATATATACATATGTGTATATATATATATATATATATATATATTTATATATGTATGTATAAGTATATATATGTGTGTGTGCGTGTCTGTATGTGTGTGTGTGTTTGTATATATATATATATATATATATATATATATATATATATGTATGTATAAGTATATATGTGTGTGTGTGTGGGCGTGTCTGTATGTTTGTGTGTGTGTGCGTGTCTGTATATGTGTGCGTGTCTGTATGTGTGTGTGTGTGCGTGTCTGTATATGTGTGCGTGTGTGTGTATCCTAGAAATGCTTACTGAATGAGGAATAAACAAAATGGAGAAATGATATAACATCAACAAAATACAATACTCGCCAGCATTGTGAAGTAGGTAAACCACTGCTAGAGGCGGACTACTTAGACAGCATAGTACCCCCACTTACAGTAGTGTCCAACGTAGGTATAAGGATTGGGACATGCCCATTAGTGTTCATAGGTAAGGTATGTAATATTAAACCACAAACAACAACGGTTCTGGTCATAAATAAACTCCAACCCCAAAACGCTTTCCCCGGAAAAAGATATCTTACCAATCGCTAACACAAACCCATTCTCATTAACAAGACGTCTGCCAGAGGAGGACTGACACTGAAAATGTATTTAAAACAATACTCCAAAACCGAGAGTTAGGGGCTGATGATAGCCACGCAAGAACGTTTTGAAGTAGTCTATCTCTATATTTAGGTAATTTTTATTTTTTTTGCTGTAAATATATATATATATATATATTTCATGCTAGACGCATTCGTCAGGTCACCTGACCGATGGCCTGACGACTGCGTCTAGCATGAAACAGCCTGTCGCGTCTAAGTTTTGTCTTCAATATTGACTTTTATATTTACACACGCTCTATCTCTGATATTGAGCACTTTATCCCATAAATATACCCCACCATAAGAGTATATTTCTTCATATATATATATATATATATATATATATATATATGGGCATTGAGGTCAACAGTTTGTGGCGATAGTCTGTGTCACGTTTAAATGCAGTCTTTAGATACTATCTGAAGATTGCGTTTGTATTTTTTTAAATTAAACGAGGAAAAAAAAATATAATGCCTCGTGAATTTCCAGAAGTATGCAAAGAATACACACACTGGATGTATTTTAACCCAGTTAGTGTCTACAGAAATCTGAAATAATAATCTGAATCTTTCTAGTGGCAAAGCTAACTTTATATTAAGTATTTCTTATATAAAATACTGTTAATTTCAGCACTTAATGTGTGTTGCGAATTGGACATCTGGAAATATAGATCGACGGTGTTCAAGCATTAAGTCAGTATTGCTGACAGAAGAAGACCATCTTACGGATATGATAAATGCATACACAATTACTACAGAAATGCATTGTTTAATATTTTTACTGGAGAAATAGATCGAGGTGGTCAATAATAAAAGCAAGTATTTACTCATTTATATATTGTATACGTAATGCGTGACTCTTGCATGTTCGCTAATGATCAGTGACGTGAAACGAAGCAACGATCCTATTCCCTGGCCTGGACTGAACTAATCACGTGACGATAAAATCACCACGGAACATAAGGGTAGAGATACGCTGTGTCTTTTGATCCGCGCTCAAAACTAAATTAAACGGGAGGGTTTTGTTTTGATGAGTTGACGAAACGTCCCTCTCTCCTAACTGCACCATCTGTTCACACGAAGTCCGACTGGGCAGAGCAAAATGAGGAAAATCAGGATCTCCATTGACTTTAAGATAATCACCCAAGCCACCCAAACCAGCCAGCCAGTTAGGCAGCCTTCAAATCATCGGGGCGGGGTTAGACCCGTCGTCTCAATTCCCTGATCTGACTGCGTGTCTGAGACCGTGTAATGGAAACGAACATCAGTAAAGGCGAAAAGCGTGGGAGTGTGTGGTGTAATGGGGTATTCGGGAAAGGGAATGAGAGACAAATGGCGAGAACAGGGAACGAAAGAGCCACTGAGGTAATTAAACGAAAGAAAGGGGAACGGGAAGAAGCAGTAGAGACGATGGCAGGGGAAAAAAGGGCGGGGAGAATAGATGTGCAGTTGGGAATTAAGGGTCAGAAAACCTAGATGACTTTTACGGATAGTTATCAAGTCGAACTGAAATGTTAATGCATGGATTAGCAAGGTGAACGCTGACCCAGGCGTGATCGGTTCCTCCTGAAAGGAAAAGAACCTTGTAAGAGTTTGCGCTTGGGTATTTATAGCGTTTGGGAAGCGAGCATAATAAATTTATTGATACAACATTGAATCTATTTTTCGAGTTGATTATGATACCTTCGACCCTCTGTTCTTTTCGCCCCTCGTTCTAACCACGCATCACGAGTTTCACCAGTTATGACGAGCGATTGCACTCTCAATAACGCTCCTTGCCTTTAACGTCTGTAGGGATGCACTTTCATCCCAGACCTAGAATAGAACATACTCTCTCTCTCTCTCTCTCTCTCTCTCACACACACACACACATATATATATACACACATACAGACACACACACACATACATATATAAATATATATATATATATATATATATATACAGAGTGAGAGAGAGAGAAAAAGAAAGAGAGAGTAAAAGAGTGTGAGTGAGTGAGAGAGAGAGAGAGAGCCTGAATATAAGAGAAAGTGAGAGGAAGAGAGAACGAGAAAGAGAGAGGTGGAGAGAGAGAAACAGAAAGAAATAGAGAAATAGAGAGAGGGGAGAGAGAGAGAGAGAGTTTGTGGTAGAAAGAGACAGAAAGAGAGATTGACGTAAAGAGAGAGAGAGAGAGAGAGAGAGAGAGGGGGAGATAATAATGATACTGGAAAATGGTCGGTATCTGATATGGCTCCAGAAAGTACCTGACACATGTCTAACTTTGTAAGAGTAACATTAAGCCAAAAAAGGAATACTTCTGCCATATCTAGACTGAAGCTGACAAAGTCTTACTTACCAATATTGACAGCGTTCAGAAGCGTTTGCATAGCTTTGTTGGTGGTGAATTATTTTTTTCTCAGAATATAAAATGTTGCAAACCTTTATCACAATTTCCATGAAAAATACCCAGATGAGGTATCACCAGTTCAGATCTTTACAGCTAAGACCCACCATACCGCGTCAATCCTACAGCTAAGACCCAACATACCGCGTCCATCTTACAATTAAGACCAACCATCTCACGTCAAACTTAAAGCTAAGTCCAACAATAACGTGTCCATCTTACAGATTCGACCCACCATACCGTGTCCATAATACAGTTGAGGCCCATCATACCACGCCCATCTTACAGATAAGACCCACCATACCGCGTCCATCTTAAAGCTAAGACCCACCATACCCCGTCCATCTTAAAGCTAAGACCCACCATACCCCGTCCATCTTAAAGCTAAGACCATAATAATTCTTTTTCTAGACATAGGCTCCAAGACTGAAAATGGATATAACAGACATTTTGCTAACATTGGCTAAATATACTAATTTTGGTATTCTAAAATTGTCTTCGAATGTTTTCTTTTATGGAACAGAATTCCTCGATAACTTCTAATCTTATCCTCTTCTTTAAGTCTGCTTTCAATTTCATATTTTGTGTACCAAGTTATTTTTTTCTGTCCATTTAACAAGTCTTGGTTTGGGTAAATTACTTATTGAAATATAACGGTTGTAAATTAATTTATTGTTTTCATTTGTTCATGTTTTTAATTATCAGGATTTATGTCCGTGAGAATATCATGGCCAACATAACTTTCAAGAGAAGACAATGGCAGATCAGAGTTTGGGAGAAATAACAGAGTCTGCCTTCCCAAAAGAAGTATAAAATAGTAATAGATAACAGAGTATAAAAAATTCGGGTCTTCCGTGAGATATCATGGCCAACATAATCAAGAGAAGACAATGCAGGGGAAATTGAGTCTGCCTTTCCAGTAGATTTTAAATGTGAATTAAGTTTAAGCGTCTAATGATTTTTCCTTTTTCTTTCAGATTTAACAACCTAAGTCTTTGGAAATTTTAACTATGGAAAGATTAACAATGAAACAACGTGTTAAATTTTCAAGAGTGCAATTAGAAAAAATGTTCGTAAATTCAATCAAATTGGGTAGGTGGCAGATGTAAAAACACCATTGCGTGCTCGTTTACGCCGTTCAGCTGAAAACATTGCTGCAGTGCACGAGAATATGGACGAAAATCCAGACACCTCAATTTGTCATCGCATGCAGGAATTGAACCTCTCCACAACAATGTTACAACGTTTTGAATTGCACTCTTGGTTGGTCGATTACGTTGACCACAAAAATCGCGAAGTGCACAAAATGCATTTCTGTTTGAACGCCCATTTTCGTAATGGGCTTAGATTACTTTCTATGGTTGAAATTGACAAAGACATAAGTTGTTAAATCTGAAATAAAAAGAAAAATCAGTAGACGCTTAAACATAATTCACATTTAAAATAGGTCCAAGTTATTGGAACACCTTTATAAGCACCAAAGACCAAAGGACTTTGAAATCTGAAGAACACTGAATGCTCATATGTTATATAAATATACAGTTGTTGAATGAGGTCAACGATACTGTCTGGTGAATCAAATAACATTCATTACGAGTGGAACGTAGTAAATGAGTACTGTTACATTTCAACCAACAGGAAAGTCTATTTTTCAATATTATTTTTCAACATTATTTTTCAATATTATTTTTCAATATTATTTTTGAATATCTTTCAATATTATTTTTGAATATTATTTTTGAATATTATTTTTGAATATTATTTTGAATATTATTTTCAATATTTTTCAATATTATTTTCAATATTTTTTCAATATTATATTTCAATATTATTTTTCAATATTTTTTTCAATATTATTTTTTCAATATTTTTTCAATATTATTTTTCAATATTATTTTTCAATATTTTTTCAATAGTATTTTTCAATATTTTTTCAATATTATTTTTCAATATTATTTTTCAATATTATTTTTCAATATTTTTTCAATATTATTTTTCAATATTTTTCAATATTATTTTTCAATATTATTTTTCAATATTTTTTCAATATTACTTTTCAGTGGTAGTCATATAAAAAATGCGTTTACAGCGAAATAACTAGTCCTATTTCCAAGCTGATAGCAATTTATTACACGATCTTCCTCAAATAATCTGAATCATTTTACCCTATGCAAGGCGATAAAGCAACTAAGACTCAAGAGTTTACTGAGTGTGAAAGAAACTGAAAAAAAAAACGTTGCAGGAGAGAATGTACAAGATGAAAAAAGATAGATGACGATTGACGTGGCATTTAATTTTTGAGAATCGTAGTTAACAAGAAAGCGATAAGCTGGGAAAGAGTTCCACAGGCGATAAGTGCGAGAGAAAAAAACTATTAGAATAGAACACAGTTACATCAGTAAAATGATGAGATCTAGCTCCCAATCTAGTGCTATTTTTAAATATGTGAAGTCAAGGTAGCAAAGAGAAAATCATAGAAAAATTCCCAGATAAAAATATTTATAAAAAATGCGCGGAGAAGCTCCGTTACGGCGGTTGGAAAGTGATTGAAACCAAGATGCCAGGTCAGGACCGATAACGTTGCTGACTATTCTTTGGACTTTGTCAAGAATCTCTAGATACATAGCAGAAGCTCCAGATCATATGTGGCACCAATATTCAATGGACGAACAAATGGTGGGCTTATAAAGTTGTAAAATGGTTTCTGACAGGCAAAATTGTCTAGTACGATGAAGTGAACCAACTTGTTTAGCAGCAGACTTCCCATCTAGTTCGGAATAATCATTGCAATTCATATCAGAGGAAAAAGCATGACTGAGAAGGGGCACCGAGTTATTCTCTTGGACGTTAGCATCAAGACGATTAAATTATAGCAGTTTAGTTTTTGAGGTGTTAAAATTATTAAGCCATTTCCTGCTCCAGTTGACAATAGATTGGGGGCTATTCTAGAAACAAGCTGCCAATTATCGAACCTAACAGAAAAAAAAATTACGCATAATGACTTCACAAAATTTTCAAAAAGATCACCTCTCATTTCCATATTTTAGACGTCTAAAAAAAACGTTGTTTATTTTGAAAGACAAAATAGGCGACAGTATTAGGAGGCACGGTGGAGTAATGGATGGTGGCTCGGATTGAGGAATCTGAGAGCCGAGTTCGAATTCCAGTCGAATCCATTACATTCACTTAAGTGCTAATACACTTGGAAAAGGTATGACTCCTCTTCTACTCCCTCCAGCTATGGGTAAATAGCAGGACAGAGCCTTGGATGGAACCGATTTATCGAAAAAAATGACAACCTACTACAGAAAAAAATCTCTCTCGTCAGTCATATATCGAAAGATACATGATCGCCTAAGCGTGTATCCCGCATGGCACATAATTAAATGACATATCATAATTATGTTTCTTTCTCCGTTAGTTAGTCAATTAGAGCGTGTGTCACGCTCTACCTAAAAATAATGAACCATTTCGTTTTGATTGCCAGGAAAGACGGAAGAAAATACATCAGAGATGTTTGGTTTTAGCGAGAGAAACAAAGCATACATATTAATAAGAAAGAAAGAAAAAAAGAAAGAATCGTAAGATATAAGAAGCGATAACGCTCTCATGCATTTAAGGTTTGCTTCACTGAAATGGAAAACTTTGTCATTTTCGAACCTTTTCATTTGTACCCTCTTACTTCTTTAGATGATGGCATGGATTCATATCTATGATTGTGCAGCAATAAGACATTAAAGTTACTAAGCTCAAATACTTAACAATGCAATAGGTGCATTGCTACGGGTATATTATAGCCGTGGAATTCGCAAGGAACTTATGCAATCATTGCATTAAGAATGATGATTCGTCTGAAAATTCAAATAAGTAAACCGTGACATTTTGCAGATACTACTATTTACAATTAATTTTCAAATGATAAAATTAAAAGTCAAAGCTTTAGGCATTAAAAAAAGTTGCTAGGTACCAGAAAATACAACATGAAAGTTCACTCGTTGACTTCCTCTCAAAATCAGCACATTTTCAAATTCAAAAGAAGTACGTGTTTCATATTTCAGCACAACGTAATTAGAAGATTAAAACAGAGAAGTGATTGAAACAGTTGCATATTACTAGAAGCCAAGATCAGCGTTTAAGCCAAAATTAAAATCCTGATTATCTCATGTAGATAATCTAGGCATTAAGTCGACATCTATTACAAGTTAAATTTTGTTGATATTAATTTAATGACTATATATCAATATTTTATGAACTAATAATACACTGAACTGAAAATGTCAGTAACGAGTACGTTTCAAGAATAATAAGAACAAAAACCACGCTTATACTTAGAAAATTTCTATGACTCATAATAAAGAAAAAAGGCTTGGAGAATTTGACACTTACAATACATTAAAAGCGAGGGAACAGATGGAAATAGTGAGTAATCTACCAAACAAGCGTGTGCAGATGGATGACCGTATATGAAATTGGTGTGATAGCGAAAACACAAATATTACTAAGAGCTACAAGGGAAAAGAAGCCGTGGAGTGCCATGATCACCAACGTCCTGAAGGGGCATGGTTTATATAAAAAAAGAATTATCCATTTACCTTAAACTAAATTCTGTTCGCATTAAGTATCCATAAAAAGAATACCCGCTCGGCCCGGTGGCTAGAATCAAAGTGTAGTATCTGCGCTTTGTGAGCTGCCGGGTCGGGTGTCTGTCGAAATCTCTGCTTGCAGAGAGAAACCCGGACGAGGCTCCGCCGAAGGGTGGAGTTTCGTTCGGGGAGGTTGACGGAACTAGCCCGCTTGGACGGGTTTAGATGGGTTTTATT